CGGAGCCAGCGTTGCACGGGATGGAGAAGGGGACACGGAGCCAGCGCTGCACACGATGGAGAAGGGGACACGGAGCCAGCGTTGCACGAGGTGGAGAAGGGGACACGGAGCCAGCGCTGCACACGATGGAGAAGGGGACGCGGAGCCAGCGCTGCACGGCCTCGAGGCCGGGGAGCCCTGCGAGCGAGGACGGGCTGAGGTGCAGGGAGGTGACATTGGGTCCGTCACGGCCACCGGCCGCTGCGGGGCAGGAACAGCCGCACGGAGCCCCAAATGGGCCGTGTCCCGCAGGGATCCAGGAGGAAGGACAGCGCGGGCGCGTGGAGCTGGTGCGAGGGGACCGGGAACAGAACCCAGAGCAAGGACCAAGCGCTTGGGAGTTCTGCTGTGGGAATGAGGGGAGATCCTGAAAGATTCCTGCAAAAGAAAGTGAGAAAGAAACTCCCTGATGGCGGTGAGGAGGCGTCGGAGCCGGGCAGTGACTGCGCTCCGGGAGCGGAATTCCGTCCTCGAGCCGCCCTGCTCTGCATTTCTGCAGCTTCTCTGTCCTTTTCACACCCGTCTTGGGATCGCATTTCTTTTCCTTGCTTTTTTCTCTGGAACTGCATGGAGATCCCAGGCTAAGCCGGATTTCTTGGGTTATTCTCTAAGCACATGCAAAAATGTGATGCATCTCCACGCCTGCGAAGCAAGTCCCTGCTCTGGCTGCTGCACACTTTTGAGAGACAGAACTGCCAGCTCCTCTGCCTCATATTGCTGGGGAAAAATGGAAACATTTTTCCTCCCTTTTTTGCCAGCCTCGTTCCATCTGCCATTGCGCAGCCTTTGCTTTCGTGCCTGCGGTGTCCGCGCCGGGCGCGCAGCCAAGCAGGGGGATGCGGAGCGCGGAGCGGCGCCGGCACCGCGGGAGCTGCATGCGCTGCATGCGCTGCAGGGGTTGCAGGGGCTGGGAAGGGACTGACCTGGTTAAGGGTGGCCGCGCATGGGAACGCGCTTGGGAAAATCCCTGCTCAACCGTCCAGGAGGCATTGCGAGCACTGGAGAGGCCGGGAATACCGTGCGGAAAGCAGCAGATGTCCTGGTTGACGAGAGCAATGGAAACGGGATGAAACTCAAGTGCACAGAATGCGAGTTAGCGAATTAGTGCAGCGGGCGCCGCTGCGGCGAGCGTGGCCGCGGCGCAGGAGGTGCCGCTTTGGAAGCGCAGAGGACGCGCAGGAGCGCAGCGCGGCTGCCCCCAGCGCCGCTCCGGGCGGGATCCTGTCCCAGGCTCCGGGTGGGATATCACCGTGGGAAGGGTTCCGGGTGGGATATTGCCATGGGAAGGGCTCCAGGAGGGATCTTGCCATGGGAAGGGCTCCGGATGGGATACTGCTGCGGGAAGGGCTCCGGGTGGGATATCACCGTGGGAAGGGCTCCGGATGGGATATTGCCGCGGGAAGGGCTCCGGGTGGGATCCCGTGGCAGGAAGGGCTCCGGGTGGGATATTGCTGCGGGAAGGGCTCCAGTTGGGATCCTGCCGTGGGAAGGGCTCCGGGTGGGATATCACC